CCCACAAATGGGGACCATGCTGGAGCCACGCCCTCCTCCAAGCACTGCTCCCTTTCTCCCAGGACACCATCCGGCTTCCTGAAAGCATCGGTGTGGGCTAAGGAGAGGCAAGGGGTCCTGGAGCCCAAGGCCAGGCCTAGGCCAGGCTCCCTCCTCTGGCTGCGATGCGAGCCGGGCAGGGACACCGTCTCTGTGAGCCGCACCCCGCACCTGTGAGTGGAGACACTGCAGAAGACTGTCCTGAGGTCTACACCAGGTGGCCTGTGAAGGTGCCGGCTGTAATCTGAGCCTCATTCGTAGGTAACTACTTATGTGTGCAAAGCAGCGACCTAACAGTGACTAACAGACCTGGTTCAGAGGCCATGGACAAAAAGAGAAAAAAGGCAGTAATATGTGGACTGTGTACACGCCACCAGACCACATTTCCCAGAACCTCACGGTTTACAAACTGCTTCTGCACGTAGAAAGTGGTCGGAGGACCTGTGATGCAGCAGCTTAACGGAAAGAACACGTTCCATCTTGCTACGCATATTTTAGTTTAGAGCAAATGTCACCCACTAACTTGAAAAACCTAAAAGTAATTTCATGTAATGGGAATGATGCTGAAAGGCCCATTCCGTTTGCTCTCGATTATGAACTAAACCAGAAGAATCTGTTGCAAAGTAAAAAAATAATATTTTACTCCCTCCCTCAGAAAAAGTGCCACCACCACTGGGTGACCAAACAGGTGCGTGTGTGCGTCCTCAAGGGCTCAGCAGAGGCCTCCGAGCAGCGCGTGCCCGGCAGAGAACAGCCATCATGCTGGCCTCCCCATCAGAGAAGCGACAGAAAAGCTGCTGACACCTGTCGTCTTGTCGCGTGTGACCCAGGCGTCCGGCAAGGGCCCCGTGACAACGGAGCAGCAGCACAGCAGCACCCCAGCTGAGCCTCAGCTCTGGTCATGCCTGAGGCTTTACTCATTGATTGAGGGCCTGGTTTAATAAAACGAAATACTAAAACACGAAACCAACCAAACCAAACCAGTTGATTCCTTCAAAACACTTACAATTAAGCCTCATTCACTGATTTTCTCCTTGCAAATATCTGCGTTCCTGGGGGTTCTCATTCCTACACAATGCTCAAGGGCCCGTCCGGATCCGGCCTCCCTCCCTCCCTGACCACATGTGCAGACCCCTTGCGACATGCACCGGCCTCCCTGAGTTCTATGAGCACGAGTTTCCCCAAAACTGATTCGGCTAAAATAATCACTTCAGGCCCTCAGAACAATGTGCCCAAGGAAATGCATGTTTTGGTAAGATGTTTCTGTAAACCTTACTTATTTTTAGAGAAACCTTGTCTAGATTTCCAAGATAAACTCTCCACGCACTTGACATCAACTGTAACTGACCTTACTGAAGAAGATCTAACTAACGGCATTTCCTCTGCACTGAAACGTGGAGAGCCCGGTGTCTCGTCTCCGGCACGTAAGGAGACACTCAGCTTATTTACCGGCCAGGGAAGTGATGGAGACCCTCATCCTTCCCGCTGCGGGCCTCCGCGCTCCTGGCCTAAAACCTCCTAGAAGTGCCCAGGATGGTTCACAGCGCACAGTGACCATCAACGTGCTCGCCAGTGCTGAGGCATCCTGCCTTTCTTCCTGGGCTCCGGCTACCTGAGGGCACGCGTCTAAGTCCCACACAGGCCCAGGCCCTGCTCGCACCGATGCATTTAAAAACACTGCCAAGCACATAGGTCCCAGGCGATAAACGAGAGCAAACGGAACGGGCCTTTTCCTGTGATGGGATGGGGGGGTGGTCTAGGGGACAGTCACACCCACTTAGAGGCTGGAGAGGTGTCCAGCGGGCTGGAGGGCTCCAGGGAAGAAGAGACTGGCGTAGTCAGGAAAGGCCTCTAGGAAGCAGTGACGTCTGAACCTGGCTTTGATGGTCAGAGAAGACCCTCTTGGGTGGGGACGGAAGTGGGCGTCAGGCAACCTCACTTCCCTGCCCTCGTACTGGGGTGAAGCCCTTCAGGAGGTCCTGCAAGGCGACAGAGCGGGGGGCACTACCGACCGTGCTCCAGTCCTGGCTCCGCCGTTGACGAGTTTGTTTATCCTCTGCATTTCCTTCCGACCCTGCCTGCCGCAGCTCCTAGCCTGTACCCTCTGCCACCTCGGCTGCGCTGGATGCGCCCAGCTCCCGCTCCGGGCCCAGTGCTCACGGGCCCCCGGTGCCTGCAGTCTCCGCCTCTCACTTCACGCAGGGACCTGCCCGCCTGTCACCTGCTCGGCGACGTTCCCGGACCACATTTTAAGTAACTGCTTTAGCTCAGCGCCGCTGGTCTGTCTCCTCCACAGGACATCGCTGCCGTAACGGGGGGGACCGGCTGTGCTCACGACCGTGCCCAGCGTCCAGAACAGTGCCTGGCACACAGCAGGCACTCAGTGTCTGCTGACTGAATTAGTGCAAAATGGGAAATATAAAACGGAGTGCTTTCCAGCTCGTGGGGTTCGCTAGCGGTTGGAGGAGATGGAAGGTGGCAGAGGAGCACAGTCACGGCCAGTGCAGGGGAGGGCGCTGCGGCCCCAGCCACCGGCCTGCAGAAGGCACGGGCTCCACGCGGGAAGCAGACGCAGAGCCCGCGGGCACTGGGGCGCGGGGTGGGGGGGCTCCCCACTCTCACGGCACCCACAGGGTGCAGGGCAGGTCGCGAGGTAAAAAAAGAGCCTCGGGGCTTGGTGACAGGACCGGTTTTCTAGGTATTCCTTCAGAGCTTGCTGGGCTGGCGAGGTGTCCTGTTTAGTCTCCGTGGAAGATGGATGATCACCAGGCCTGCGGGTCCTGGAGTGAGCAAGCAGTAGGCGGAATGACGAAGGATCGACAGGGATCTCAAACCAGTGCCGGCACGAGGTACCCACTGGACACGGGGCACTCTGCCCGCTCCCCTGGTTACCAGAGCGGTGGCCCTCCGGGAGGCAGTGCTGCTGACTCTGAGGGGCGATGATCAGAAAACCCCACGATGCAATAGCTCAAGCAGGACGAGGAGAAAGAAGGGGGCCAGCGGGGCAAGTTCTCAATTTTATCCAGCTAGAAAGCATGTGGGAGGGGGAGGGAGCGCCACCCTTCATCTGCTGGGACGTAATCGATTCCTGGAACCTTCTGACCGCACAACCGCCCGTCTCCTTAAGTAAGCGTGGTGGCCGTCAGTCAAAGAACATCGAGAGGGGACTGAGATCTGCACCTCTGGTGACGGGGTGAGTAGGAAGACATGATAAAGGCAGGAGCACAAAGGAGGGGCTGGCCGCGAGAGATGTTCCAGAACAGTTCCAGAAAAAACTCAGAAGAACTGAGGACACTGACTCAGGGGATCAGGGACTCGAGAGGAGGCCCGAGACCTGGAGGTTCCACACGGACCCGTTTCACGTCAGCACTGGCTGAAGAGCCCTGATGAGCCCGACAGGCATCCTGGCTCCCTTCGACCAGCAGCACATGTGGGGCACATGCAGGGCACACACGGGCACACACGGGCTCACCCGCACGCCGGGGCCTCACGCCTCACGCTGCTCCTAGTCCAGCGGGCGACGCCCAGACACGGATGAAGTACTCAGCCAGCTCAAGCCTCATCTGCTCTACCGGATGCCCAGCGAGTGCTCCCTCCACTGGGTTAGCACCTCCACCACCTGGCACGAGGTGGCCCTTCTCCGTCCAGGGAAATCACAAGCCCCCCGAGGACTGGCTCACATCTGCGGGATCTCCCGCTCCCACCAGGACTGAACGAGGATGGATTACAAACGCCAAGGCTGAGCACGTCTCGGGGCTGCAGCGTCCCCGATTAACGGTGCGTCTGAGACGTGCCGGCAGCCCCGAGCCCGCTGGGCCTCCAGCTCTCAACCCTCCGCACCACCCCGTTAGGAAGCGGGCGATGACTCAAGCCGTACTAGCCGACACACGTTTGTCACACACTAGTTCACCGCCAGAGTACCTCTGCCAAGCATCTAAATACGCACATGAATATCTCTTGAGAGGAGCTTATGGGACATTTGTGCAGAATAAGAGAACAATGAGCAATGACATTTGGGCGTTGGCACACGAGAAGAATCCAGTCACCAACTGCGCAAAGCACCAAACTTAATTGCAGAAAAAACTAACTCAAGGCAAATTAAACTAACAGGAATTAGGTTTCTTGTAAGTCAGATGGTCAGATACTAGAGTTAAGAAGCTACCCCATGTTTTAGAAATGTAACACATAAATCTAAAACCAGGGTACGTGTGTGAATACATATACATGCATACCTATATATGTGTGTACACGGCACACATGTACTATGTATACACACGTAGATACACATTTACACACACACACACACGGGTCCAAAGAAGATGTTTTTCCCTTTTTCTCCCCTTTCCTGTTTTCCACATTTTCAATGGGGAAAAGACACATATATTTTGAAAACATACCACGGAAAGTACATCACACTCATCACACCCACGAACGAAGGGTTAACATAATGCTGATGCCAGTATCTTAACTATATTTTCAAAACAGCAATATTCAAACATCATTTTATGTTAATTGTGAAAGACAAAAACTGTTTAAAAAATGTTTCACGTATCCTGAACTTCGGAAAACAATATACAAAGTATATTCTGTTAAATTCTGCTGAATTGCAAAGATAAATTACAATGGCAACTTCAAAAGTAAAAATTTTCACTCTTAATACGATCGACATGATAAAACTGAAAAACAACTTGGAATTCTATCTAATCTCGAGTCATCTGGCATCATACGCATACAGCTCGAGGAGAAAAAGTCTACGAGCCACACCTAAGCCTATTTCATGAGGGTAAATTATGCGAAGTGGGCAGTAGGAACGTTTGACTTTGACAAGCTGTCCCAGGAGACGTCGCCACCCGTGTGCGCACACGAGCAGCCGTCTGCCATACGGCGCTCCCGCTGCCACACCTGCCGTGGGTGCGTCCCCCCCACAGCCTGCTCTGCGGCGTCTGCGAGGAGCCTCTTACCTGACACGGAGACCGCATGTGTCCGCACGCCCTGCTTGTCACTGTTGGCCAGCCTGCAACAGAGATGCACACCACTGTGAATGCCACCCTCTCAGGCCCAGGCAGCGCCACTCCCTCCGTCAGCACTGCCGGCGGTCGGGGGGGCCGGGCCGTGTCCCGTGGGGGCTGACATGCCAGAGCGCAGGCTTTTTACAAAATCGGGTTCTACCACTTGAAGCCCTTAAAATAACCACCTGCCTTCACGTTTTAAATATCAGAAATCATGACAGACAACCGAAGTAACGCTGACCTGCTCTGAGAGAGCAACTTGTGACAGTGACTTAAAACGTTGCAATACCACTGAACGTGGTGGACTCGGGTTCTGTAAAATGCTAAGTTTAAATGCCAGGCGGCAGGGGGACTGCCCAGAGTTACGCAACGGAGGCGGGGAAGCACCTAGAAGTGAAATTTGCTCTCTAAAACATAATTTGAAACACTGTTGTCCAGCTGTTCCTTCTTAAACTCGGCACACGTAAAAAGCAGGCCCTACATTCACATGTGTCATCATTTAGACTGGAAAAATGTACCCGGCCACTTGTTTCAGGAGATGGCTTAATGACATTAGTGTTTTACATGTTGACCCACATAAAAGTCTCACCAAAGGTTTTAGTGACGTTTTAAAAATACAAGTTTAGTTTAGTTTCAAATTTTTGGAAAGAATAAAACACAAAGAATAAAGGCACCCTACCGTCTCTAGATGTCAAAGTTACTTTGATCTTTTTGTAAAAGAAAACTTTTTCCAGGTACATAAGCATTTACTATAGAAGCACCGAATAGAAATTTTTGTAGTACGTAGAATTCATACTAGGAAATATTAGAATGAAAATCATTCTTGAGAACTGGAAATATTCAGTGTGCAACTGAAAACCCTGTATAATGAATGATTATAGTACAAAGCCACAGAATTGAGTTACTTTTATTGAATTTTCTAAATATGTGAAAAACCTTTTTCATAAAAGTTTAACAAAAGTTCTTTTCCGACACATCATCAGTTTCTCTTGCATTGCGGCTACCTCTGAACTGCATTCATGGGGGAGTCACAGGGTACAGACTCGTAAGAAGGTACCATCTGCTTCTACATTCTGTTGCTAACATACTGGGGTCCCCTTCGCCACACCGCCTCTGCCACTGAGTCACCCCACTCACTCTGGTATGGATTTCGCTGCCCTCCGATCAACAGTGGTAACAGGAGCTGCTGCTCCATTAAAGTTTGCTTTATTCGTTCAGTTTTTCTAGTATCTACGACCACTTCTAACCTACAAACTTCTTCACTCACTTTTACATCTATGCTTAAGATTCCTGTGTTTTAAACCTCAAAGTCACCCCTTGAAGACTCCACAACTGAAGGTCCTCTGAGCATGAGTTCTGGGCCTGATATGGGACATTAATAAATATTAATGTTGCTGAGCCTGTGAAGCACACTGCCTAACAGCTCAAAGCAAGCTGGCCTCCTCCACCCCTCCGCGCACCTGCACAGCTACTGTGTCCGTGTCAGGTCTATGACGCCACGTGACCCTGGCCTTCGACAAGGCCACAGGGATGTGGACAAGCAAAGAGTCACTGTAAAGTGTGACGGCACTACAGTGAAGTAGGTGTTACGGGCAAACACGCAGGGATGCTCCCAGGAGCAGGGGGCCTTGGGACGTTTCCAGGGGAGGGGACGAGGATGACACCAGCCAGGCGAGCAGGGCCCGGCCGAGGACGAGGGGGCGGTGGGGAAGAGGAGGGTGGCGTGCTCGAGCACCTGAAGGACACCAGGGCGGCTGAGGAGCGGTGGCATGAGGCTAGATGGGCGAGCAGGGCGGCAGCCACGCAGGACCCTGCCAGCTGGCTCAGGGAGGTCGGCACTCGTCCCCAGAGCAACAGCAAGCCTCGTGAGGGCTGGACTGAAGACAGGTTCCTCACGATGTAGGACCGAGTGGACAGAACGACGCGCAGGGAGAGAGGTGAGCAGTAAACGTCAGCCCAGTGGGCACGGACTGCTGTCCTCTGAGGCTGTCCTTGGGGACGTGGACTTCAGGGGGTTCCCACTGCCCCCAACTGATGGCACGACGATGACGTCGCTGTGCCCAAACGGTCCGTAGGAACGCGGTTCACGCAAGGCTCCTACGGGCAGAGTCTGCACATTCCCAGGCCCAGCAACCACCTGGGCACTGCATCTCTAGAGGCTTCCTGGGCCAGCGACACTTCACACGTGATTGCAACTTCCTGCTAGCGGAAGCAGGGGTGTCCTGCCCGAGTTCGCCGGGAGAGGGCCCTTGGGAGCCTGCCCTGTCTCCCCGGGATGTCATCCCTGCGCCTTCTCCCTGTGCTGGTTCTGCTTTGTGGTCCTCTGCTGTAAGACAGCCGTGAGTGTGACCCTATGCTGGGTCCTTTCTAGAGAACCAAGAAACCTGGGGGGGGTCTTGGGGACCCCGACACAGGAGTCTACTGGATAGCCCGGACGGGGGACAGCGATAGGCACAAGCAGGGGAAGGACCCCGGGAAGGCAGCAGGTGGACGGACCTGATGGGTTCAGGAAGCGGAACCGAAGGAAACAGCGAGGGGCGGTGATGGGGCAGAGGGCGAGGACGGCAGAGAGGGTGCTGAGCCTCCCAGGGGAACGCGTCCTCTGCAGGTGCCCGGGACTCTGCTCGCAGCTCTGTCACTCAGCGCATGGCTGCACGCGCGGACTGGCCTGCACGTCCGCGGGCCACGGCTCACTTTCGTTGGGTCCCGCACTCGGGGCACACTGGCCGAGACCAGAGGTGGTGTTAAATAAGTTTTCCTGGCATCACTATTCGATTTTTAAAATTTTATAGATCAACATAACTATTATAACATTTATGAACCAAACAAGTAAAAAATTAATGTAAATTACTTATTTTCAATTTTCTTACTTGGAAAACAGCCAGAACGGTACCTATTTTCAAGTTCTTATAAAGACTAGCGATGGCTATACAGTAACCTCCACCGCCTCCTCAGCATTATCACGATGATGAGTCTCAAGCCCCTCCCAAACTTACAACAAAGGGAAAATTCCTTGCAGACACCTGATTAAACCTAAATACATCACACGACTTACAACCGACTTCCTACTGGAACTACCTGTTAATTCCCTATTGTCGAATGTGGAAATCTGACCGTCTGGGCAAGCGGATAACAAAACGCAGTGATTTCCTGGCAGTTTCCAGCACAGGGAGCAACAACATGCACGAGGCAGCACTTACTTTGGTATCGATGGCAAAGCCCGTTCGCCTTCTGTGGAAAAAAAAAAAAGAATGGTGAGGTCCCTTCCACTCCTGAAAAGATCACGTGCAGAAATCGGGGGGAAGGATGAGTGGCGGCCCAGCACTTCCGCCACAACTCTTAAAGGAAGCTGATGCTATTTCAGGCTTTCTGGTTTCACTCTCAGTATTTGTAACTAACGTAAACTGGCAGCAGGCGCGTATGGTGACGAGGTCCTGCCTAACGGAAACAGCGCGCTCAGGTGGTAACCTGGGGGGAGATGTCCTTCCAGGAGGCTCCAGAACATGAGGCTCTCTTCCGGTCAAGGTCAGCACTCTGACCAAGGACCGAACATGCTCATGAGCAGCGTCACCCAAACCTGTGCAGAAAACACACAGAAGCGCAGACGCAGACGCACGAAGGGGCGGCCTCCCGAGGGACGGACGCGGCAGAGGAGCCCAGGAGCCAGGGCGGCCGTCCAGAGCACGCTGGGAGCCCTCCACCCACCGCGGTCGCCTCCCGCCAACGACCGGCGGACCCATCCCTCTGGGCAGTGACTGGCTCCCGCTGGTCTCGTCACAGCGAAGGTCAAGCCTCTGTTCAGTGACTGGGGCGACACTCCTCACCCTTGCTCTTGTAAAGCAGGCAGCATGGCAACCGCTGGTTTAATCTCTTTTATCTGGATGAATCCAGAAGGCTCGTTACTACCAGAATCATCTTCTACACATATAAATTCATCAAGTCACTCCCCTGCTTAAAACGTGAGTCTCTCCACAGCTTTTAGGATGAAATGCCAGCACCTGGGCTTAACCCACAAAGCACTTAACCCACATCTTTAGGTGCGTCTGTGGGATGGGGGTAAAGGCAGGTAGGTGTCCGCCTACCACCCACGTCTGTGACGCCTTCCCAGGCAGCTCCTCGGTAATGTCCCCGGTGTGGTCACATGTACTGTCTGCCCAAAATGTCCCTCCTCGCGTCTGCCCTTGAACTCGGCCCCATCAGCTCCCTCCGCCTCCAGACGGCTCGCGTTGCCTTCGGCACACTCTCCAGTCCTTGCCGTTCCCTGACCCCGCGTGGCCGCACGCTGTATCTCCGTGGGCACGCCATGCTGCCTTCACACGTTCTGCCCCTTAGAGATGCTCTTCCGTCTGGTGGAAGCATCGTTCTTCAATCTTTCCAAGCTCGATTCGAGCACAGCCTCCTCCCCGGAGCTCCTCCTGGAACACCCGAGGCTCTGGACAGCGCGCTTCCCTCGCGTCAGATATTCGACGGTCAGACTGACCCTGCCCGTGGGGGTCCCTGACACCTAGTGCAGTACCTGGCGCCCGAGGCTCGCAGACCACTGTTTGGTAAACGAATAACTAAACCGGCGCTGGACCTCGAGTCAGCGGTTCTTTCTGAACAACTGTTTACTTACCTATAAAGACAAAGATCGAACCGCCTCGTTTGCAGGGAGAGCTGTGAGCTTAGACAGCAAAGAACACGCACATCTCCTGCATCATACCGTCCAAGCTTCTTCATTCCTAAGACGCTGATATCCAAACTTCAAGCAAAACAACCAAGTTCTACACCATGAAGCTCAGACTCAGAACAACGGGAAAGCCTGCGATGAGCCTCTGCCCCGGGGATGCCGCCCCTGCCCCTCCCGCCCCGCAACGAGCACCGCCACGGCCTTTCGCCGCGCCCGCGGCTTCTGCCTGAACTGCTGAAAGTCTTCCTTCCTCGGAGGGGAAAAGCGGTTATTAAGCATACGGTGAGCACAGACTTCCTAAGCAGCTGTGCGGGAGGGGAAAGGAGGCGGCGAAGGAGGTGAGCAACAGCGGGAGGATCTCGGGGGCACCTTTCCAGCGAGCGAGAAGGAACAGAATACTGAGAAAGACGGCGGCTGACGCACTGGCAGCAGCATCACAAAAAAACGAGAACTCACTAAAATGCCCAATTCTAGGAGTTACTTCTTAACATTTCTTTAAATTTATAAGTTGAACGTGACTTCTCATGTCATTCACGTGGTATGTACATCATTTCACTGAATAAATTCTTTAGGAATAAGGGTGTGCATTGTATGAACCTACATTTTTATTTTGATTTTTAGAATCGAGGCTTTAAATTTTGAATAAAAGGTTTTATCTACTTTTTTTAATTAAATGATTAAGAAAAAATTACAGAATCATTGTAATAAATCTAAATCATAAAGGTATACGATGTGGGGGAAAAAACGGAAGAGTTGAAGGCCCCCAAATACAACTGCACCCTCCTTAGAAGCAGCACTGTGCACCTGAGCACGTGCCTGCCCAGACTTCCTTTACGCGTGTACACGCACGCACGCGCACACACATGCAGGGTGGATGTACACGCACACACACGTGCATGGAGCTTTCCCACACGACGGCAGCACTGTGTCACCTTAACAGCCAGACGCTGCTGCATCAGGTGACCGTGCTCCCTCGTTTATTCACTGACCCCGTCCTGTGGATGCTTAGGTTGTTTCTAACTTTGCGCTGTGACAAACACCGAGTGCCCATGCTGTGCCAGTGGTCCTGCAGGCCTGATTCCTAGGAGGTGGCCCGCTGGGCAGAGAGCCCCTGCTGCACTGTCCTCCGAGCCCGCTGTGCCAAGTCACAGTGGCGCCAGCAAGGGGTGAGGGTGCGTTCTCCAACAGCCTTGCCAAGAATGGGCAGCGTCGGTCCTTCACCAATGTGAGGCGCCGAACAGTGTGCACTGTCTGCGTCCGTGTGCTCACCGGGCAGCTGCGTGTCCGTTCTTCTATGAGGTGGCCGTTTGTAAAGGCACAGGGTTATCTTACTCAATGGGCTGGACACGCTCTTGAAAAATAAAGATGTTTTAATTCTTCTCTGTATGTTACAAATGTTGTCCCCTGTATCATAGGTTTAAAAACATCTTTTACTAACAGAAGCATTTCCACACTTACATAAAAAAAAAACTCTATTCATTTGGTTCCTTATATCGTCCCCTCCTCCTCTGCAATGTGCAGTATTTACTATCGTCCTACATACAGACTATTTCCTTAAGAACGATGAAATGATGATCCTACATTAATGTGCATAATCCTTTCCTTTGAGAATTTTATTAAAATTAAAAAATTGCCATTGAGCTGTCCTGTGGGTAAGGGACAGATTAGATAACACCCCACAATAAGGACCAAGGTCACATAGAGACTGGTGGACTTGGTTCAGGACTTTTGGCTTGTGGCTCTTATTATATTTTCCGACCCATTAAGTGCCACCTTGAAAAGCACTTTATAAACTCCAAGCGATGAGGGCAGATCATGAAACTGACACAGTGCGGCTGGGCGCACTCAGAGCTGCCACAGAGAACTTCCGAGTAGGGTCACTTATGACAGCCATACTCCGTTACGCGGCCAAGCATGCATCCTACGTGGCTCACCACTAAGCAGTTTATGATCCACAGAAGACGGATGGCTACGTACATAACTGCTATTTAAAATACAGCACAAGGAAAACAGTACATCAGAGCTGGAGAAACATGTTTTGCCTTTATGTACTTGAAATTTTAAAAAAATCCAAATTAAAAAATGCACATATGCTTTCGTCTACATATTTCTGAATACAGTCCATTAAACATGTTTGACTTAAGATATCATTTCGATTAGGCAATATAGCATCACTTCAGGTATCTATTACAATTCATCCTATAAAGACAACATGAAATTGGCAACGACCAATGCTCTGTGAGACGCATTTTCAGTTATGCTCTGTTCATATGAATGAAAAACTTAATATATCTCATTTCCCTAGATTTGATATCAAAATATTTCTCCCTAGAGAAGAAAAAAAGCCAATTAAAAACCAACAGAGAAAGATGTTGAAGCTTTAAACATGGAATGGCTCATTTAATGCTTAATGTCTGGCTGTTTTTTTTTAATGTGTACCAACAAACTGTTAAAGAACGTTTTGGTAAATTAGCGTGAAATTTAAAGAACTATTTACTAAAAAGGAGACGGGCACTATGTCATATTTAACTGCTCACAAAACACTATCTCTACCAGAAAGAATTCTCTCAAAACATTTAAATAATATTTGCAAGGTATCTACCTCTGTTTCCTGCACAAAATGAAAACTCAAGAGCTTGTGGCTGCAAAAGTTTTACCTGAGAGGCCTTCAGACATTTCTAAAACCAACTTCATCACTGTATTTCCTATAAAGAAAGCTACAACAAACATATGCTATGTCTTAGGAAGAAAGCAAACGAACAGGCTTTATTGGTGTGATCACAGCGGGGAAAACGTTTCTGCTGAGTTGGCCACGTCCTGGAAGCCTTTATGTACTTGAAATTTTGTACTTACTGGCCTGTTGGTTTAGCTATTGTTTCCAGGACACACATCATGACACTGACTTTTAAACAACGGTTCCAACGATTCCTTCACAAACGCACATACCCACACACACACCCGCGCACACACATCCACCCACCCACACACCTACCCACACACTCACCCACCCACACACACACACTCACCCGCACACTCACACCCCCTGCACCCTGCTCTGTCGCACAGGGCACTGCCTGCTGGGGAGGCTGGACGTTCTGCTGTGTCTTTCGTCCTCTGTCGTCTGCTTCCCTTGTGCTTTTCTATATCCTCGTCACTATTGAGCCCAGCTTGGCTCACGTGGACACACAGCACTCAGCCCTTCCGGGCTCTTTCCTCCGGAATCGTCCTCGTCACGGAGGTGTGTCCACCTGCCACAGAGCCACCTGCGTTACAGGGGCCAGCACGCTGTAGGGCTGGTTATCACTCTTCTCTTACAGACGAGGAATCTAAATGTCAAGGTTCACAGAGTGTGTCGAGATCACACGGCAACTAGCCGCGGTGATGGGAACAAAAACCTACGAACAGTGACGTGCCAGGCTCGGCTGTAGTTCGCGCATGAGGTCGCTTATGCTCCCGGCTCCCGCAGAAGCCAGCACCACTGTTCGTGCCGCAGACAAGGAGCTGAGGCACAGAAAGGTTAGGCAACTCGCAGACGGCAGCACCGAGACGGACGCGCGCGCGCGCGGGACGGACAGCCTGCTTCCCAGCCCCGCCGCCCTCCCGCCGCCCTCCCGCCGCGCTGCCCTCCTCCCGGCAAAGTTTTCGCTGGGTTATTTCGGAAGTCCAGACCCTCTGAGACACCCCTTCTTACTGCCTTGCGAAAAGCCCACATCGTGTCTGAAGGGGTACAGCCTTGTTTCCAGGACAGTTCTTCATCCTAATCATTCATTTCACATCATGACCGAGAACTAACTTTGTTCGTGGATGTACAAGAAAAAAGCTTTTGAGTTGTATAAAAAAAAGGGAGAAGAGTCTTTATTCACGAGTTGTAAGAGACGCTTTAAGAAAAAAAAAAAACCTGAACATAATCCCGAAAGCTTATCTAAAGATACTGATGATAACCTAGAAAATACTCCAAGTATGTTGCTCAAAACGCAGTAGCTTTCCGTGAGCTCTATTCCAAGCCCAGCTCTCAGGCGGTGAGCTGGATCCCTTCCCTGGGAAAACGAGAACACGGATGTGCCGGGCTGAACCCCGCGTCTGGTCTTCGCGCTTACAGACGCACTGAGAAGAGGGGTCGCAGGCTGTCGGGGGTCGGCTCGCAAACAGCTCCGTGGGAACGCGCACACAGAAACAGCAGCTCACCTTTCTGGGGTCTGATGATAAAAGACTGCGTGGCTCCATTCACCAGCCGGCAGTATCCATCTATCAAGTCAGCCATATTCTCAGCGATGGTTAGGGATGGCGCTGTCACTGTCAGAGGCTGAAAAGGGGAAAAGACCAAGAAAGAGCCGGTATTGTTCTTTCCGATAATCAAAGGGACAGCTGCGCTATGACATCAGATCTCTAGAGACACTTGCAAACAGAGAAGGGTGGGGGCGAAACGAGATTTGTCGTAAGGTTTGAGTCAAAAAAGAAGTTTGATATTTAAGGACGCTATTCCTAGAATATGTGACAGAAGGCAAACCCAGATGAAAACGAAAAGAAATCACTTAAACTGAGACTCGCTTTCTGGAACAAAAGGAAGTAAAAAAATGTTTTCCTTCAGGATGTCTGGCCTCTCTGGCACACTCTAATTAAGGGAAGAATTTAGACAATCAGCGCTTATTTTAGTAACTAAACTAATGTGAAGTAATTTTTTATAAACCATCCATCATAATTTTTTTAACATTACAGAAAATTAGTCAGATTTCATTATTTTTAGCACGCATAGCGTGTTCTGCCTAAGAGCTCAGAAATCACTCTGATACAAAACATGCGATTTTGACAAACTTCCTGGAGACCTATCATTGTTACCCAGGAGACAGATAGTCAAACACGTATTTTACTTTCAAATATGGGTGTGTGCTCATTCATGTAGTATTCACAATGCCCTCAGTGAACCGTTATTTCACCTGCATCATCTTCATATTATTTGGGGGGAAAGCAACAGGAAAGGACAGTCTGAAAATGACGGTGCCAAACAGGAACCCTCCCCTCACAGTACGGTTCAGGATTTTAAGGCATCATCTGTTTAATTCGAAGAATCCAATGTACTTCCCGAGCCTCGGAAATGCCATGACCTGAAGAGACAGGCCGAGGGCAGGTGAGGTGGCTCAGGGGCACCGTGAGGGCCCCTGCCCCCAGAGGCCACGTGGCACAGGCCTGAGCCACCGTGAGCACCCCGGCCTGCTGCGGCAGGCGCCCGCCGCATCTGCAGTGCTGAGACGTGCTCGTTAGGAACGCGGCTCTCGACGGTCTGGGTGAACCGTCTCCACCGCTTACTGGGACCGCGGCCGACCTCTTGGGCTCGGTCCCCTCAGCTACCCAGTGGGGGCGACCCCAGCTCCTCAGGGCGCCTCTTCCGCTGGGTTCTGAGACCGCCAGGGGCTGCTCCTGGCTTCTGTGCAAAGCGCTGGGACAGTGCGGGACACGCGAGGCAGGCCGTGCCGGCTGCGGCGGTTAACATCATAATTACCGCCACCCAGGGAACGTCGCAGACTGCAGTTTACAGGACAGATGTATTTTTATGTGAGTCTAAGAAGCTGATTTCCTTGGTAAATCACAGTCACTTTCAATCATCTTCACAGTAATGCTCCGAATGCTTTTTAAATCTGTCTCCTATTCTATTCCTGGGGGCATTTAAGCATTGTTATTCGTCATCTAACAATTACACGGGAAAGCTGCACTTCTGATGATCCACGGAAACCTCATCCTCGTCCTGAAAGCATCACTCTTCCTGAACGTCCCTCTGTCTTAGCCCCGCCCCCCCGCCCCGACGACCGGAGCGTCCGTACCTCGGGCGCGCCTGCGACTTTCAGCTGGAGCATTCCTTTCCTGTCCTTGTCGTCGCTGTTTGAATACTGGATGGTCTGCACTTGATTGAAGTCGGCCAGGTGTGTGGGCTTCGAAAAGAAAAGGCACAGAGTGTGGCCCACAGATAAAAGGGCTGCCCCCACTGACGCTGGGAGGTTTCCCCAGCCGCGGGCCCCACCCCGTTCTCCTGAGACCGGGTGTCAGGAGAGTGGGGAGGGGGTCGTCTGCGGAGCTCACTTTGGGGCTGTGCTCCCGGCGGCCGAGGAGCACCCGATCCTAGCAGCGAGACGAGGGACTCACCGGTACCAGAGAGGAGACACAAGACAGGGAACAGGAGGACCTGAGTCCTCACCAGCCTGGGGGTGACCGCGTGAAACCCTTGGTGGGAGTGAACATTCTGCTCCCCGCACGCCCCAGGGAGGGGCCGGGCCTGAGTACGTCTCTGAAACTTCCTGACGTGGAGGTGGCAGGTGTCCATGGGACCTGCCCACAGAGACAGGCCGGACACACTGCAGCTTCGCAGCAGAAACCCCTTTGTTATGCAGACAGAATACACCCACCTGTCTTCTCCTCCCAGCAGTTCGTGGCAATGATCATTTTCGTGTGATGGTCCCTACCCATCTATTCAGAAACAACGAGCTGCTTAAGGCCTCTTGCTCTTGGAGTATCACGTGGTGGCGGCCACGCTCAGCACCGGCCATGCCACTGGGCCTGAACTCTGAGTCAGGAGGTGACTCATCCTCGGCTTCCCTCCACAGGATCTACGACTCCGTGTTCACACACAGGCATGTCCTGTGGCCTCCCCGCCTTCGCACGGATGCCCACAGGCGGTCCCACGTGCCCCCTGCCCCGGCCTCTGGGCAGCACAGCACGGCCCAAGTCCCACTCTGTCCCCGGTCAGGTGGCCTGTGCCCCCATGAGGCGCCCTTCCACCTCCCTGGCCCTTCATGGTTACCCCTTGTCCCCCAGCCGTGCGCGGCCCAGCGAACACCTGCATCCTTAGCGCGACGCCGCTTTTTCTACACGGAGCCCGGCAGGAGGTGGGTGTCGGGCACGGCGGTCGCGAGGCGTCACCGGCGCACACTTACGCTGCAGCCCTTGTCCGTGAGGTAGCTGATGCCTTCCTCCGGGCCGATCGCCAGCTCCACCGAAATGATCCAGCTCGACTTTTGAAGGCGAAACAAGTGAAAACAGAAGTCCCAGAAGGGAAAACATATTTTAGACAAAGAGCCATGATGCATGAAGGAACCAGCGGGCTGGCTCAGCCTGCCACAGTCTATCGAACCGAGTAACGCGAAATGTTCTAACTTCACTGATCCAGCGTCCGCTCAGCCTCGACACAGCTACGCTGCGCTCATCCCCGTGGGTCTGAGCGAATGGTTTCTCTGGGAAGGTCATGTGAATAGGTAAACTAGCTCTTGGAGAGCAGTTCATCGATAAATAGCTGGGCTGGAATAAAATGATCTACTTATGAACACAGACATGCCATCAAAAAAAAGATGATTTCAACGTCACGTTGACACAATATTCTCAGGTCATTAAAAACGTGACAAATTCCATTTCAATCTGATAGTTAGGTCTACACGGATAAGAAAAGCAAAGAAAACCGACCCAGTGCGCCCCTTCGTGCCCCCATACTCACACCGAGGGCGCACTTGAAGCATTCTTTATCGAATCTGTACACTGGGGACAGGATCTCGAAGAACTTCAGAATGCTTTCTTCTCTGTTCAGGTTGGCGAACTGTCTGAACGTCTGTTGGATCAGTTTTCTGAGTGTTTTGGCCTGCATGACACAATCACAAAAATCTTTTCAGAGTCGACAGCGAGTGAAGACTGCGGGTGGCAAGGCCACCAAACGGCAAGGAAGAACCCGTCCCACCCCACGCTGGATACCGACATTCACACTGTTACGAAATGTGATACTTACTAGAGCTTCACGTCCTTTTTTAAAAAAAAAAAAATCATAAAATATACTACCGTAACCATTTTTAAGTGTGTACAGTTCAGTGGTTTTAAGCTTTATTTCTTAAATAGAAATTTGTAAGGCAATGATTTACTTATTAGAACATGTAAAAAGTTAAGCATTAAAAACATATCCTCAACTGCCCATGACAGGGACCTGGCAAAGGTGAAGGCCTCAAGGCATCCGCTCACACGTCCGGGGTTGGGGCTGAAAGTCGGTGCCACCTTTCTGAAGGACAACTTGGCAACACAAATCAAAAACCATGAAAAACCACACATCTCGATGCAGAAATTAAAATCCCAGGACGTTAGTCTTTAGGGATGATTCAGCCACAAGGAGGCTCACTGCAGAACCGTCTGGGGTAATGCAGGGCCGGGCTACACATGCGGTGTGTGTCTGTACATCTGGTGTTCTACAGAGCGCTGAGGACTAGCAAGGAACTAATATTAAAATCCACATCAGTGTTACATGAAGAAATATGGCAGAGCGCAGGGGATGGGATGTGGACATAGGCACCGATGACCACAGGTGAGCACAGGCACCGATGAGCACCGAAGGAGATAGACTAATATGCTTTTTTTTTTTTCTGGGTAGAAAACAAGGTATCTGTGCATGCTATTCAATTTTAAACCAATTCACATACACAGAGAAAACTACTCAGACTATGATACTTCTTCAAAATGAAGCAATATCATTATTAGGTCGTCATCAGAAATTGCTGCTACTCAACCATTTTTAATTACAAAGAAAATTTCATGTTAGTTGACCTAAAACTTATCAAACGCTGTTAGCAACAGTGGACCCCTAGTGATGCAATGCTAGAGAAAACTTCCAACAAAGGAATAACAGGCTGAGAATATATTAACCAAAGAATTCCCCACCTACCCACTAAATGCTAAATACAGATATGGTAACAGTGCATGCAAAGTGTGCTTTAAAAAAACAGATGGATAATTGACATACAACATTATATTACCTTCGGGTGCACAACATGATTCAATATTTGGATATATTGCAAATTGATTGCCACATTCGATAAGTCTTGTTAACATCCACCACGTCACATAATTACAATTTTTTAAGGCCCACTCTCTTTGCAACTGTCAAATATGCAACACAGTATTATTAACTGTAGTCACCAGGCTGTACGTTACATCTTTGTGACGTTTGCTTTATAGACTGAAAATCTGTGCCTTCTGATCCCATTCACCCATTTCACTCACACCGAAACCGCCGCCGGTGGCGACCACCACCCTGTGCTCTGTATCTCCGAGTCTGGTTTGTGTTTGCTTTTAGATTTCACACATACGTAAGATCATACGGTATTTCTCTTCCTCTGTCGGACTCATTTCACTTAGCATAATGCCCTCTAGAACCAACCACGTTGTCACAAATGGAAAGATTTTCTTTTTTATGGCTGAATAATAGTCATTGAAGATGCGCTGTACACGCACATACGCCCTACATCTTCCTTATCCACTTATCCATCAATGGACACGCAGATCGCTTCCGCGCCTTGGCTACTGTGAAGAACGCTGCAGTGAACACGGGGGCAGATTTCTAAAGAGTGCTTCTTTGCGTCTGTCTGCAGGGACCATATCGGAGGGTAGCTTTCCATGCAGACACGCATTTCATTCTCCTGGCACCCCCCTCACGTGCTGGTACCCAGCAGAGGCCAGGAATCGGGTGCTGAACGACTAATAAGCCTGACGGAATGGACGCCTGCCACGGTGACCTGCTAATCACAGGCACGGGAATGACGACTATTTTCTCTAAGAATAAAATCAGCCGTTACTGAATGCACTCCAGGAAAGCACTTGTGTTTTATTACTTGGGATTGTAGAGATATGTCAAAAAACTAATAACGATTGCTCTCTTAACGTTTCTAGTTTTGAAATTAGATTTCTACTGTGAATTACATTCAAATAAATTTTGGAAACTTGGCTATTTTTTGGACTTCGACCTAAGTTTAGATGCACAGAAGAACTACAAAGACGGGTAGAGGGAGCTCCTTGAGCGCTCTTCGCCCAGCCCCCGCTGAAGGGACACTCGTGCGTGACGCTGGCGCAGCAGGTAAACTGCGAGACCGGCAGGTGCCATGCTGCTCGCTCGAGCACCGCCCGTATTCAGCTTGCGCCATCTGGCCGCTGACAGCCTTTCGCCGGCCCCAGGGCCCGCGCTGCATCCACCTGCTCCTCCTCAGCTCCAGCGGCTCTCACGGCTTCTCGGAGCTTCTAAGGCTAATGATCAGAAAGCTGCCTCGATAAAATCCACCTGCATTAGTTTGCCCAGAGTCACCGCCAGCTCTTCGCGTCGTAACTTTTACATGTACAGGAGGAAAACACATATCACGGGAGGTAGAGGCACAACGTGGCATCTGATTATGATAAAGCAAACTAATTACCTTGACAGAATCCAGTAAACTCCTAGGGAAAAATCGCTTCAAGCCGACATCCTTTCTGAAATATTAAAAGAAGCATATTAACAAATGACGCCACCAGATCGATTAATACAGTGACACTGTTATAAAAAAAGAAAAGCAATTTAAGTTATTTATCCTTTCACATACAATTCAGGAAGGACACATAACAAGGCTCCAATTTACCAGCAAAGTCACGGAAGGGGCGGGACAAGTCGTTTTCTAGATATTTGCAGAAAACATCAATACGACTTGGTTTCAGTAGAAAGTCTTTGTTTTTTGACACTGACTGAAAACCCATTTAAAATATTGCCTCTGCAAATCACAACGTATAAATATACTGTTCTTTTTCAAATACTGCTTGAAGGTTCACTTTATACAGATAAGTTCCAAATGGGTAGAGAAAGTAGACTGGCCTGATTAGGGCAAGATTTGGGATATACTAATGGAAATCTTTAAAAAATTCCATTGGATTAATCCTAAAAGTTGACTATTTTTAAAAATAAACTGATGATAAACGGACTCAATCAAGGTTTATCGTCTCAGTTTTACATAGGAAACAAAAAGAGAGAAATTAAGTGATTTATCTAAGGTCTAAAAGCTGAATGTGTGAAAATGTTGGCAATCCCACCAACTTTCATTATTATGGAGAGTTTCAAAGCTCTCTGGCTAAGAAAACAGACGGGAAAGAACAGCTCACTCTTTTTTCCTACGTATTTTGGGTACCCAGTGACCTAGGCTTTTTGGCCACTAGATGGCAATCCTGTGCTGGTAAAAATGACATAAAGCCTAGAGACCATAAGAAATGTCAGGAGACACGTGGGAAATACGAAGGGATCAAGCAAAGAGTGAAATACAGGTATCTTTTCAGAACTGCATGAGGAAACAATAAGCTGAACATAAAATATAAGTAAACAGCACAGGGATGACTTCTTCGTCCATAACTGTAAGTCACCCGGTATCACAAACAACATCACAAAAATCGTGTCAGTTTATCTGGTTGATCCTACATCCAAACATTCTAATCCCCTATTCTATAACCTGACTAGCTCAGGACCTAAACCGACAAACTCCAAAGTTGGTCTTTGTTCTCACTTTTTTATTGTTTTTATCATTTTGTTCACTACATGTTTATAAAATGCGTTCTCAGCTTCTAATTTTACCCAGAAGCCAAGCACTTCGGGGTCCGTGGCGGAGGATGCTGAGAAACGCTCCGGGGCACCGCGGCACTGTGCTGCAAGGTGCAGGGAGGGCCTCCTTCAGACGCCTAAGCTTAAACCCTCTCCAGAAGCCAGGCAGGGACTGCGGGCGGCCCCACTTTCAACACGAGGCCGCCGCTCCGAGCCTTGCGTCCGCCCTGGTCCTGACCTGCTCCCCGCTGCAGCGGCCTGGCTTGCAGCGATGTGTGCACAAGCCTCACTTGAGCCCAAACGCTACGCTCCTGTGACACAATGTGAATGAGACAATAACCACTACGCACAAAATGCAACTCCTAGCCTTTATTATAAGGTAGTTCTTTACGACATAAGTAATTGTCAAAGGGTGGATCCTAAACGCTTTAAATCACTGGACGAAAAAAGAGCTAACATGAAACTTTTAAAATATTGCCAAACCCCAAGTCCCAAACCCAAGCATCAGGTGTCGATTCTCATGAGTTCAAAGGAAGCTTTTTAACCCACACACGGCTGACGAGATGTTAATACTGGTGTGAGCTGCATGGGCCACGACAGGAGCCGCACGAAGCTATTTATACTTAAATTAGAGGAAATTAAATGTGAAAGTCTAGTCCCCAGTCGCATGGGCCAAACATCAAGCGCTCGGTGGCCCATCTGGCGAACAGCCCCCTCCCGTTCTGGCCCATCACTGCGGAAAGCTGCACCGACTCTGCAGGGCTCCTGAGTCACGGCAGGAGAGGGACACGGATGGACGCTGGGAACAGCTGCACAGCCGCTTCAGGGGTCACCGCACAGGGCTCCCGGGGACCACTCGGAAGACGGGGAGAAGGCGGCCGCAGGGAGCGTGCGGCAGACGAGGGACCTTGGGCTGGGACCGCCCCGTCCCTGTGCAGCGGCGAGCCTCTCACGCTCGTCAGGCTCCCACCGCCTCGCCTCTAAGTCAAGTCACGTTGACTCGAAGCGTCAAAGGACACAAGCCCAAACTCACTTCCTCTGACCAGGTGCCACACGGGGAACGGGGCAGCGGAGCGCTGCGACACGCTCCTTCTTCTCGAGTGAGACACCGATGCAAACAACGAACCGTCCAAGAGTGTGCGCATGACCAGCGCTATGCGGTGACAAGCGCTCGAAACCAATAAACGCACTTGTTCGGACTGAGGGTTTCTGGGACTTAGAATTCTACCTACGGTCCATCCGAAATCAGAATGTTCTCAGTCGATGTTTAATTTATCTGTCTCTCAAATGAAATGCTTAGACGAGGGCTGACGAATGAGGCCTCTCTCCCTGTTCACCCGCAGAGCTCTGCCTCCCCACCTCTCGCCCGACTGTGTGCTTCCCGTGTCGCCCCTTCCACACCACGCTCCAGGTGAGAGGGCGTCCGGTGCTCCCCTGACCAGGTGCGGGAGGGCGCCAGCAGCCCCTGCCGTCCGGGCTCCACCGCACGCCTAAGGCCTCTGCCTGGCCTCGCCCTGCAGGCGTGTTCACGCCGTGAACCCTGAACGGTGGGCTTTGGGAGGCCTGCGGTGGAGGCAGGCTTTACTTACATCATCGAGCTTCTCAGAAGTGAATTCTTGTATCAAGGACACATGCATTTCTCCTCTGGCCCCACCTCTGAGAAAAGTGACCGTGTCTGTTGGCTTTCATTCCTCAAAGCTTTAAGCCCGGGCGTAAAAGCGACCAGAACCGGCCTTGACGTGTAATGGGTGTAACCGGCACGTGTGTTTTCTTGTGGTGCTCCCGGCTTATCCTCCCCCCCAAGCTCTCGGAGCCGATCTCTCTTCTCAACTAACTCAACACCCGAGCAGCCGCCCCCCACCTGCCCAGAGTCCCGCTTCAAAACTCAGGGTGGACGATGACCTCGGACGTCAAGTACCAACCCCCGACATCCTCTGGAAACTTCGACGTTAGTTCCTAGTACATTATTTTACAATTTTGTTTAATTTTACTTCTGAGGGACTCCCTTCTGGCTGTAAACTTCCTGAGGATAAAAATTTTGTGTTATTAATTACTGAATCTCCAGCATCTAGCGGCCAGGGCTTAGTAGATACTCAATAATGTTTGCTAAATGAACTATTTAATGAAGGAAGAAAAGGTCAAAAGAACAGATAATTAACCAAATAACCATATAGGGAAAACCATTCCTATTTTTCCTCAATCTCCATTTGAACTGAGGATAAACCCAGTATTCATCTACTCCATTACCTGAAGGGCAGGGAAAGGCTACTTAAAACCCTGCCTAGTAAGATATCCTAGGTGATCGCTAAACGTTTCACTCAACTCCAACCAATCCCTTTTTGTCCTTATCTAATCTGTGAAGGGGCACAACGCACGTGACAGCTATGCTCACAAGCACACAATCGCAAATACTCAGCGAGTGCCTGCTGCGTGCTGCACACCGTCAGGGGCCCGGGGCGCTGACACATCACAGCGTTGGTCCAGGGACGAGCCGGCTTGCAGCGTGCCGAACGGACGGACGGCCTGGGCCGTGCTCGTTCGCGCGCCACGGCTTGGCAGAGCGGAGGCTCGTGTGGCCACTGAACACAACGCATCTCTGCCACCAGCTGTCATTTCGCACGGTTACAGCTGCTTTGTAACTAACGTCCGAAAAGATTTACTTCTACTTTTACTTTCACGGCCTTTCGCTTTCTTTAGCAGCGTCTTCCGAACAGCACGAGAACCGCAGGAGTAAGACGGCCAGGAGAACGAAGGCCCGAGACCGCAACGATGCTCGAGAGAGCAAGCCTGGCCGTCGCCGGGCTCTGACGAACGTCAACCATCTTTTGCTAAATTAATTATCGAATGATGACGTGCGGAACTTCTAGCATCCCAAGGTGTACGCTCCAGCTCGCCTGTGCATGCATTTAAAACGATCTAAGATAACGGTATAATATGCAAAATAATTTCATTGTTGGAAAATTTTTCAGTTATTCTAAATTTTCTGATACATAAACAACAAGTAACTTTCACATCTCTGCTTTGTTTACTAACAAAAAATTCCTTGGTAAGCTTGTAAAGAGAATACAAATAATTTACAGGCAATTTATAGGCAAGTATAGATTTCAATATAAGTTAGAAGTAAAACTTTCATCCCAATATCATTAAATACACAGAGAGAAAGTTTATCATGTATATGTTGACATACCACAGACGTTATTAGCCTTAAGACATTTTATGAACAAATTTAAATGTTTGCTAACACAGTTAATGTTATCAAGACTTCTTTTCTTAATAAAACTTTCCCTCTTCCAGATAGTTTTAGAAACAGTAGTGTTTCCGACTTAATATTTAAATAGAGAAAGTAATAAAAACTCCAGTTTGAAGAATGATTTAGTTCTGGGCATCTGCTGTGACAGGGTCGCTTTCGGACATGTAATACTTACTCTAAAACTTCATAGTTAGACTTCTTCTCCAGCGCATTGCCCCGCATCTCCCAGTATGACCGCCTGAAATGAGGGGAGATACGGACTTTTACATACGTGCATGAAAACCATGAAAACCGTCCATGTCGTTACACGATAAAACCTGTGTGTGTGGGGGGGGGACCTAACAACTGTGCGCCTCGGCCTCACACGTTCTGATACACTCTGAACGAGGAGCGCCGTGGTCCACGGCACGTCCCCGGGGCCTCGCGACCTCGCGACGCACGAGCAGGTAGCGCAGACTTTATTTCTGCCGCGGTCTCGCTCTCCCTTCCCACGGGAGCAGGCCCGGCCTTCGCAAAGGTGAGACCCAGACGCCAGCTGTAAAGGAGCTCAGCGACACCGGCCACGTCCGCGCTGCGTCTTTTCACAGGAGACAGCACATGCAAGCGGACGGCCGCAGGGGCCAGGTGTGCGACACACCCACCCCTTCAAAGGCACGTGTCACAAGAGTAACTGTATCAGACACGTAACAGAAAGATCCACCTAATTCAGAATCTTCTCAAATTTTATTCAATGTTTTACTGATAATATTTATGAGGAAAATACCTGAATAGTTTCCAAAAATGATGAAAACCAATGATGACTACAGCCCTCATGCACAGGCATCACCTTACCGTATTTCTAGACAGCCCAGCTTCAGAGCAATGTCCTGATCCACCTGGTCGGCTACCTCTGACATGTAATCGCTCTTCACCTGCGACAGAAAGGGGACGCAACAGTTTTAAAAGAAACCATTTTAGACTTAATCGTTCGGTAAATGTTTGCTGGGTCCCTTTTATGTACTTTACGCATACCGTGTCACTAATTATGCTGGAGGCTGGAGATGAAGATGAGTAATACCGCGAAGCAGTGAAAGAAATACATGGGCCCCCCAACAAGAAGAGCTTATGTGACCTCTGAGCGCCTCACTGGGGCTTTAAGAAACAAAGAGCATCATCCGAAGCACAGCAACACCGAGCTGCTTCACCCCGCGCCACGCTGGCAGAACTGGAAACCAGGAGCCAGGCCTCCACTGCCAGAGAAATGCTCCCCGAAAGTACAGGCTTCATAGTTTCTGAACTCATACTTCAGGTCCAACGGCACCGTCAGACCTTCATGTGAGGCCAAAGGAAACTCACGGATCTCGAAACCCACTGAAGCCTGCAAGTGACATGCCTCCACCTAGCGTAACGGGATGACTGATCCGCCAAGTGACAATAGAGTCGAACATAAAGAGAGGAATCTAAGAGAACTTGATAAATGCCGTCCAACAACGATCACGCTCCACCAAGCGATGGACTGCGTCAGTACTTGAGAATACCTATTGGTGTGAAGACAATTTCAAAAATGAAATATGCAAAACCTCCTCACAGATTATTAAAAGAGCCACATCCGTAACTAGTTTTAACGATGAGGAGCGCCCACTGTGAACCTCAGTTCAGTGACGTGTTCTCTCTCCCCGCAAAGGAACTCCGTTCTTCTCTTCGGTGGACCTGCATCACAAAAATCTGCACTCATCTATGAGATTATTAACTTCACCCAACGAAACTGTGATTTGTCTTGCCTCTCGTCATAAAGCATTTCACGCTACCCTTAATTTTGCCTCTTGGTCCTCAACTCTACAATATTTACTCTCTGACCCTTTACAGAAAAGTGTGTTGGCTGCAATCCTAGAAAAATTCCAAATCATTCTTTCCTAGCCTGTCAGTTCACTTAAAAGATTCCTACTCCCCAGTGAATGACTTTGTCTGCCTCACATTGGACCGTTTGCCATCATGACCGTCCCCTGCAAAGATCCCGTCTCCCATTATCATCCTTTTATTTTAATTGCCTGGCAAAACCAGCATACGCTGAGACAAACCACACACCTTTCCAAGCTGACCGCCAAGCGACTGGAGAAAGGACAGTGTGAGCTTCGCTTTAAATTCGTGACCATAAACCCCAGTCAGTTGGAACTGGAAATTCAACGACACCTGCCTCGAAGCTGGCCAGCGCGGATTCACACTTTCTCCAGTTAACATGCCACATCTCTTTCTTACGGAGAAAGAAAAAGTCTTCAAACGGGCATGCCCTCTTTAACGTGCCAAGGATTCACAATGCAGGTGCACCTGTGCTCACCTACCCACTCCTCCTCCTCCGGGGGGAGCAGTGGTGACTCTTAGCAAAGGACAACCGTCTGCTCTTTCTACCCTGAGCCCCGCCCCCCCTCAAAGCCTTCGCTCTACCTTCTGCGTAGCACCCACACCTCTGCGCAATGGTCCTTACTGACGAAACGAGCGAGCGGCGATCAGACCGGGGTGCAGGCGCCTCTTTGCTTTCCTGTCAGACTTACAAGCAACAGGAATTTCTGTTCCTCACACACAGGAGGCGTTTAAGACCTGATTCATTGGAACTAATTACTCGACCCACTAACTCAAGTAAAAAGCTTTCATTCTAGAATCATTGTTTACACTTCAATTGACTTTCTCCTATACAGCCCCCCCACCAAAAAATCCAAACTAAGTTTTTGCGTCCTAAGCAGATTAATCATTGAACACAAAAGTAAAGGAACGAGAGATAAATCAGGACGCATTTGCGTGCGTCAGAGGGACAGCACAGTTGTTCCGACTGAGATGCTCAGTGGGTCTCGGTTTGGTCGGTGCCGGCTCCGAGGAAACCACCGCAGCACATCGAGCACGTGCTGAGAAGCACCGCTGCAAACCTGTCTTAAAGATTAATCACTGTAATTTTTAAATACTATTCTCGGGTGGGAAAATGTTATCACTTGTTTTATTTCATTCATCCAAACCAAATTCATATTAGTGGCAAAAACGAAAGAAGGAAAATTATAACTTAACGAGCCTTAAGGGAAACGCCCTCGTGGATGTCACAGAAGCTCTGACAGCTGTTTTCCTGCAGCGACAGCCTCTGACTCTCGGAGCTACGGGGGGCAGAGGACGAAGCCATCTGCCCCGGCGGCGGGCACCCCCGTCACCCAGGCCCCAGCGGTGCTGCACGGGGACCATGGTGCGCGTGGGCCTCTGAGGCCGGGTGAGACTGGGGTCGCTCCCCCGCAGTCCCTTGACCCCCTTCCATCCGCGGAGTCCCCGCGGACTCTGCCGCTCTGGTCCACGCAGTGATGCGTGCGCACACCTGTCGGTGCTTAACCTCGGGGCACCCGTCAGGCGGGTCTGCATGCGGCAGCGCCTGTGATGACGCCCGTGATCCTCACAGCGTCAACGGTGAGCTGCACACCGCGATCGCCCCCGCTTCGTTAGAAAATCCATTTAGAAATCCTAAGAAGACAGCAGAGGGACCGGCGGCCATCCGAGGCGCTGCCTGAGCGCTCATGCCGTTAGCGGCCGGCACGACAGCCCTCCCAGCCGGCCTCAGGGGTCTCGGTGTGCAGGTAAGCATGAGGAAAGTGCCTTCGCCCACGGGCACGCAGCAGGTGTCAGCCCTGGGGCTCAGCCACCAGGCCCGTCGGTCCCGCAACCTCCTCTGCAGTGGGGGAGCCCCCTGCCAGAAGGAGGCCCAGCACGGGGTGAGGCCGCCTCCTGCCGCCGGGACCCCGGATCCCACACGGCCTCCCATGCACCTCCTGGCGACGCGGCCGCCCCCACCGCCACGGGCCCTCCCGCACCACAGGTCACACCTCGGGCGGATTCGCGGGTCTTGCAATAAAAGACCTCAGAGTTGTTTCGTTTTTTAAAACTGTTCCTACGTTGATGCCGATTTCCTACTTAAGAAGACAGGGTGCATTCGCGCTTCCTGCTGGGCAAGGACTGTGTTTGCATCTGCGAGTCTTTTCATCTTACTCTGCAACGGAACTAAGCGTGGGGTTTAATATAAAAACCGCTCACATCTGTAATAGAGAGAATTCATCCTAAACGACGCCATAACTTATTCCACATGTCAACTCAGAGCTTTGGCCACGATGCAATTTTCTGTTTTGTCTTGCTCTCTTCTGAACATGTGGTCAGCTAACAAATTTATCAGCTAGACCCGAAAGTCCAAAAGTAAGACTGGTCAACAAGAAACATGTCCATGCCCCGGAACTTCGCGCATTTCTCTAGGCAAGTGTAGATTCTGTACCAGAGTTAAGTTATGGCTCTGGACTCGGTATCTTCTTCAGCTCCCGACTGGAACTCTTCCTGTCAAATAAACCACTGATTAGCTTACATTTGCTGTTATGAGCCACTGGATGGGTAGACTCACTTAAATCTTAAACTATTTATAGGAGAAAACGATCACAACTTCATGTCAGATCCAGGCACCTTAAGAGCTGAAAATTTCAACAGTGCCAAATGGTTTCTATAAGAGTTCAGTAACTATGACAATGTCTTGACTAAACATGGACGTAACCCTTCAAACTAATGGCCGCCACTATTTGCAGAAAGTTGCCAAATACTTATACCTTTACCAAATGTAAGTTCAAACAGCTAAAGAGGAATAAAATGCAATATAGCAAAGGAAAAATTCAATTTCAGGGCAAAACATACTTGTCTTGCTTTATAATTAGCCATCAGCCTTAGCATCAAAACCTATTTCTACAGACTCCTGCTCTACAGTGAATAGGGTTATAACATGGTTTTATAACATGGTTTATTTTTAGAGTGTGCTGATTAATATCTTTCAGAATATTCTAAAATGGGTCAAAACATTGAGTGAATCATTTACAACATCTCACACTGGCAGTCACATCTGGGACATCTTTAAACGGAACTGCGCACACACAGAACACTCTCCAGCCAGTCACCCAACCCTCGGTACGTCCCCTGGCACGCTGTTTTCCTAGACACCGTCCCAAGGCATGGGATGTAATGAACAGGGGGCCGAAGCTGGATGACTCTTCGAAATAAGTAATAACATTAAGGTAGGGTACTATAAGTCCTCTCTCTCTGTCTGTCTGTCTTTTTCTCTCGCAAGATAGGAATGGTGGTAGAGGGAATGTAAACATAATTCTTTTACCTCTGCCTTGATTTAAAAAAAAAAAAAAAGCTGATAAAAATACTGATTCTTCTGAAACAGAAATAATAACAGAGAAAACACTCAGGAACGTTCACTATTCCCCAGTCTAGACCCTCAAGATCCCCACACGAGGTCAATAAGATAACAGATTATAACCATACACAAGGAGATGTGTCACCAAACAAGTGTCAGTATAAGCCACCAATACAGATTGAAAGCTCAAGATTTCAGATTTCAAGATTTCAGATTGTAATTCAGATTCAGAATAGAGACAGTAACTCTATGTGAAATGATAATAAAAGGCAGAAAAATCAGAAAATAATAAGGGCCATAAAACATGGCCTGGTAGATTTTTTAAAAAGTGTGTTTGTGTGGGGGGGAGGGGGGATAATAAAATTAAAAAAAAAAAAATCAATAAAAAGTCAACAAATGCACCGCACATCAAATTAGCCACAGCTGAGGAGAGCTGGTGACCTGACAGATTTCTCTGAATCACAGATCCCAGACAGACAAGAAGAGAAACGGGAAAGAGACGTTAATCCAGACTGAGACGTTCTAATGTAGATCTAATCTGAAATCCCAGAAAGAATAACAAGAAATGAAGAAAAGGCAGTATGGGAGTAGCTGTCATCTAAGACATTTCTGAATGGAGGAAAAAGACACGCCCCACAGGCACACGCTGTACAACACAGATCAAGCAGGAGCGAGCGAGTGGGGTCCACACCTAGCTTGTAACAAAACTGCAAAACACTGCAACGCAAAGAAAAGGCCTTAAAGCCACCCCGAGGGAAAAGGCAGGTCGCCCACAAGGACAGAGTGAGCCGGCTTCTCCACAGCAACAACGAGACCCAAAGACAGCGGAGATCACCAGGAAGCGCTGAGGGACTCGGTGCTCTTCATCTGGGCGGCAGGCTCATAGCGTGTCACCTTATTAAGTATCGCACCTTACAAAAGAACACGTGTCAAATGTTACAGGATCTCACTGAATCAATGTCATCAAATTCGGAGCCCCTTAAAAATGGATCGATTTAGCTTGAAATTCAGTGAAAATATATGAATGTATGTGTGTATACGCTTTATATTACATACATCAAATATTAAAAGTATTTAAAGTTAAAGAATGGATATCATGTTGATGCCTCCTTTAAAATAATTTATCTCAGAATTTTTAGTGCTAATTTCAAAACTCAAGTTCTTACAAAATATTTTAGCTGCCTTCTCAGTCAAACAGACTTTGGCTAAAAATAGCTGAAGGGCCAATTTTTAATTTTTCATTTGGGCGGGGGCAGTATTCTGAATTTCTAACTGATTTTCAACGGAGGAGTGAAGCCTGCTCCCGGCGGGGGAGTGACCTGTGCGGGTTAACGCATGGCTCATCTACAACAGTCCCGAAGGTTCTACGCGTGCACCGGGCCGGATTCTGCGCTGTGACTTTCTCACAAGAAGTCAAATAAATATAAATGTACAACCACCTGCCAAAGCGGCAATGCAAAAACCATCCTACTTACAAAACTTCCTTGCCAGAGCAGGGTAAAAATAAAAATATATACATTTTTTTTACATAAATGGAATTATATTATTCATGTTTTACAGATGGCCTGTTTTAAGCAATAGCATCGAACGTCCTACCTTCCGTGTCTGTGAAGAGCCCGTCACTGTTGTGATGGGCGCACCGATGTGAAACTCAGCAGACTGACTCAACCAGCATCTCACTGACAGACATTTGCAACGCTTCCGACCGCAGAAATGGACAGAAGGAAGTGCGGGGAGGGGCTGGAGTCCTGGAGAGAGCACGAAGGAGGAAGGGGACAGGGCCCACTCCGTCACGTGCAGCTCACACCCGTGTCAGGACACGCAGCCGGACAAGGCCTGGTACCGCCTGCAGCCCGAAATTCAAATACTTATTGGACAATTACACGGTGGACATGTTTTTCTCGCTGAATCGACAGGCTGACCCCACGGGGCAGGGTTCGTACGTCTGCATTTTAGTAGTTGACACAGTTGAGCATGAAGAGACTGGCGCGGGGCCCAGCGTCCCCCAGGGGCGTCGGCGCGGGGCCGGCACACCACAGTGTGCGTGCTCCCCACACCTCACGGTCCTGGGACGTGTGACGACGACGCAGCTGAGCCTCACAGAGCGCAGCGTGTCCCATCGGCAGGAGAGTCAGGGACACGCTGGTATGTGTGGCAGCAACTTGCAATCGTATGGACGAGGCAAGGTGTTCCGAACGGGGAAACTAGGACAAGCCAGTCACAGCGAAAAGAACAAAACAGCTGCGACCTTTAGGTTAGCCCAGAAGTTACAAAAAGTAGCTGTGAGCCATTCGGCCTGCGGTGCGCACTCTGGAAGTCGGTGTCCCTAACGCTGTCACCGATTTCCTCTGTGGGTGGAATTTTTCAAAGACATCATGCCAATGGTGACACAGACCATGTACGACAGAAAAATACAGCCTGAGCGCGCTGGTTAGCTACACTGTCCCGACGCCTCCTCCGTGGAAACCCGAAGCTCGCCACCCTGGTGAAGGACGAGGCGAGCTGGCGTGGCGCCGGCGAGAAGCGGATCGTAAACTGGGACGCTGCCTGCGGCACGAGGGCCTCGACGACCTGCGCTGGACGGACACGTGACCGCTCTCTCTCCCTGCTGGGCCCCACCCCCTGCCCCATCACGCTGATTACTGAAAACCCTCACGAGTCTCCACGAGTCCCTGTCTTAACACCTTACTCCGCCGGCGTGACGTCTATGTCACAGACGAGCAGACAGACCCCAGCAGCCGGACGCTCCCTTCGCTCCCCGCTGTCTCCGCTGGGGTAGCAGGAATAGCCAGCGAGCTCCTCCGGGGAGATCACCCCGCTTCCCGCCGCCCTCCCAAATCCGATCCACCTTTTCTTTCCTGACACTAGGTGCCTGGACCGACGCGACTCTTCCTCATGCTCAGGCTCCATCTTGGTTCAACCTGAGTCCCGTCAAGTCCACTCACTGAAGCTGCTTGTTGGAGGCGGCTCGGTGGCAGGATTCTCGCCTGCCACGCGGGAGGCCCGGGTTCGATTCCCGGCCAGCGCGATCGCAAACCCCAGCTGCTTGCTGCCCCGCTGCACCGCACGCCATTCTAACTTCCTGCCCAAATGGCTGCGAACAAAACTGTGATCAAGACCGTCGCCGAGGGCACGCTTCGAGTGGCTCCCAGTCCTCGGCGGGAGAAAACCGAAGCCCCTTTGTCACGACGTGCTCCCGTCTCTCTCGCCCCTTCTCAGCCACACGGGCTGGGATTTCAACGCACTGTGTTTCTCAGAGTACATCCCTCCCTCATCTGCAAAGTGGAGGCTCCTCAGACGGCAGCTCTCCAGGGAGCCCCCTCCCACGGGGCAGCAGCCTTGCCCACGGGAGCGAGCATGCGCAGTGGTTTAGGGGCGCCGCCCCTGGACCACGGGGTTGAGGGTGCCGGTGAGGGCATTAACTTCTGCATTCCCAGCCCACGATAGATACTTAGAGTATTTTTATTCAACCAAAAAATCACCAAGTGCATTTAAATGGCAAAGTCGCATGTACAAGTGTCTCTTTGATATTCATTAGATAATCTGGGGGGCACTCTTCATGAATATTAACAAATGACATTTATTTGGTCATAAAACTGTGTCGGTTCATTTAGGCCACATATATTTATTGTCTAATTAACACCTTATGGGATAAAAGCAAGCTACTCTTAGTGGAAAGTCAACTTTGGCTTTATTGTTATACAAACTGCTACCAAGGTTGCATGATGCAGTTGGCTCTGACGATAAATTCTACATCTCACAAATCTGTTGATATTCAGGCATAATAAATATACTTGAATTAAAGACAGAACAATGGTTGTATCACTTAGGATTTACTGTCTCCACGAAGTCTCTTTTAAGATTTGCCCAAGCACATAAAAATTCACAAAATTTTTAATTTCTCACTAGTTAAAAGATTCTCACTGCCACGCAACGACAAATTTACATTCTCCCAAATGTTAGGTTTAATCTAATCCTAATAAAAACTGCGTAGTAAATAGGATTCAAAGAAACAAAAGAAAAAAGTATATTAAATCACCCTCTTGTACCTGTTGATAGAAGAAATTCAAAGTTGGCTTGTCTTCAGTGAACTGGTTTAGAAATCCTTTTGGCAAATAACGAATTCTCAATTCATATCTAAAAGATAATTCACAAAACAGAACAATTAGAAATAAGTATCTCAATGCACAGTCTACAACTACAATATGACTACAACTACAATGAGATGGCACTGCTGATAACTCCGAAATATTTTTAAAATAAGTTAAAATATAATCAATCTGTAAATGTTTTGTTTTCAGTACAAAAACACGCACACAATTGTCTTCCGCTCAACCACTCGACAAGGAGACAGCGTGGTAAGAAGCACCCAGAAGTCCCTGCCGCCCTACGAGTCACTTTCCCCCACTGCCCGGGGCACTGTCACATTATGCGTCCGATGGCTACCTTTACCTGCACAGAATCACACCGGAAGTGCCTCTGGTGCCTGGCTTCTTTCGTTCATCAACATGCTTGCGAGAGGCAGTCATACCTAGTAGCTGCAGTCTGCTCAAAGCGTTGCACTGCATGATGCACCCCAACTATGATCCACATTGCTGCCGGCCATTCGAGCTACCCCACGTTTCGGCTATTAGGAATAATGAATGCTGCCATGAACACTTTTTCTCCCTCTAAGCATCAAAAAGTCACGTTTGCTCGAGAAGCCAGGCTTCAAGAACGGCCGAACCAAACGAATTTCACCAGAATGCTCTCTGATCTCTCGTTCTTCTTCCCCGCCCCGCCTACCCACATGAACACCCTTACGCGCGTTTCTGGGTGCACGTGTGCACACGTGTCTGTTGGGTATCCACTAGGATCTGAGTCACTGGATAACAACAAATACACACATGAGCTTTACCAATATTACCAAACACTAAAAGTGGAAGAGCTGCACCAATTTACACTCCCACCGGCAGCCCGGGGCGCTCCGGTTCCTCCCTATCCCGCCTCTACGTAGCATTTCCAACGTCTTCGTTTTAGTTACTGATGTTTATTGCAATAGTACATAGTGGCTTTAACTGGTACTTCCTTGACGAATAATGAACCTGGGCACTACGTATGATAACTGGCCATTTTGGATAGCTTCTTTCGTAAAGTGTCTTATAAAAGTTTTTGTCTTTTTTTCTACAGAGCTGATTGTCTACTGGCAGCCGCCCGACTGATCTGCAGGTACTCAAAATCCCGCAGCGAGCCCTTTGTCAGAGTTAGTGACTTCCTCTCCCGCTCTATGGCCTGCTTTTCACTCTCTAATGCTATCTTTTAAAAATTATTTTAAAAATATTTTCATTTTAATAGTATCTTTTGAGAAAGGAAGTTCTTAATTTTTATGTAGTCCTATTTATTCTTTTCCTTTCTAGTAAACTCTTAGTGTTTTGTTTATAAAATGTGTGCATGCCCAAAGATTATAAAGATAGGTTTTTTCCTACAAGTTTTGTTAACCGATCCTTTAAAAAATGTAATAGACTCACAAGGAAAAAAGGCACCAAGTAATCGATACAATTCTTTTGGTTAAAGGAGGAAAAACTGTGAGACACACAAACCCAAGCTCTGCCGAGCTCGCTAAGAGTCCGCCCTACTCCCAAGCACGACTGCAGACAGGGAGGGCCCATCTCACTCTCGCTTCCAGAAGGGGTTCGACGACTCCCTGCGGACAGTCTGCACTGGGCCATCATCCGTGGAAGCGTAACGAATTTCATCTACTCTGAATTTGGGACTTCCCAGGCACCGTACAGGCACTATTTCTCAGTGGAATCAGAGGGCAGAAGTAATTTTACTTAGCAGACTGGGAAAATGTAGGAAAATGTCAGCAGTAATCAAACGGGCCGAGGGCTGGCCCTCGGACGTTTGCGTTTTTCCGGTGGGGGATGGACAGCAAGAGTAAGCGATCAGTCCCAAGGCTGTGAGCCCCGGAATGACACGGGACGCGGGAGGCTCTGGGCAGCGAGCTTACCCCGTTTTAACCATGAGGAAACAGGTCCCGCGTCAAACGTCTGGCAGCCTGGCCGCACACCCACGCTCTGAACACGCAGCGCCCTGATGCAGACGGTGGTGAGACAACGACCCGTCGCGCCGACTCGGAACAGGACAGGAGCCGTGACAAGCGTTTTAACTACACGACTTCTCTCAATCAGCAACGAGCCCAGAAGCGAAAGAACGTGGGCTCTGGATCGAGACCACCTCTGCCTGAATTCCGGCACCGCCACTAGTCACTCTGCCATCACCTCTCTGGGCCTCCGTCTCCTTGTAAAGACGCTGGAGAAATAAATGAGTCAGCGACACGAAACCCTGGCACAGTCGCTGGCGCATAAAAATGACGGGCTCAGGGGCTTATTTATTACGTCAGTAATTACTCCACAAACACTGTCGGCACCATCATGAGCCAGGCACCGTCTAGGGGCTGGGGGTACAGTGGGGACTTGAACGGGCAGAGCGCTGGCCGTCAGAAAGGTGGCATCTTTGTGGTGGAAGTCACACCGCAAATACGCAAGCATGTGTGAGGTCGCGGGTAGTGCCGTAGAGACAGCAGGCAAGGTGAGGGGGAACGATGAGCTATTTCACGAAGGGCAGTCGGTGAGGGACACTGGTCGGTGCTATCCCGACGAAGGTCTAGAGGGAACGGGGAGGGGAGCGACGCGGCTGCGTGCAGGGACCAGAGCCCCGGCCAGCAGGAGGAGCGCGCGAAGGCAGCTGCGGCCGGCAGCGACCGCAGGGACCGCAGCGAGGGCCTGGCGGGGTGGGCTCGCGGAGCACCCTGCGCTCTCGGAGCGCTGTGCGCGGAGCGGTGCCCCGCAGGCTGCGCACAGCTAAGGGCTGGCCAGGTGACACTGTGCAGACCAGACGACGTGGGCCAAAGGAAGGAGGAGACCAGGGCAACTGCACTACGGTGCGTGGGACATGACCAGGTTAATGGGGTTAAAGGGTTCTAGAGGATTCTATACTTTGCCCAGGGCCCACGCGATTAAGAGGCAACATGGGGCTCCTCTCCCGCAAGGACACACGTGGATGCCCAAAGGCAGACTGCAACGGTCGGGGCGGGGGCGTGCCTGCGGCTCAGACGGGGAGGACCGCACACTGGCCCTGTGTCCCAGCAGGCAGGCGACATCTTCAGACGCATCAAGGACTTCGGCCCTTGAGTCAAAGCCCATCACGGGCCAGCGTGCTTCCCCCTCGCACCCCTACTGAGACTCTGCTCAAGGTCCCCTAATTCAGTTCCAGTCCAGTCGCCTCGCCTCAGTCCTTAGACCACAGCCCCGGACCCCACAGCCTCCCGGTCACCAGCGCTGACACCCGGCTCCCGGTCTCTGCCACGTATGTGCCCGCATTCCTTCCGCTCCTGCTCCGACCCGAAGAGCCGGGCTGCCTGCGACATCACCCGCTCCTCTGCCACAGGCCGCCACAGATCTCAGGACAGCAACTAGGTGACACGTGCCCCAGATGACAGCACACTGCTCCTTCCGCTCCTGAGCAACACGTCCTACGAATACCACGGGCATCTAACTGCCTCGGCCTCGTCGCCAGCTACGAGCACCAAGATACCACAAGCCAACCAAGGGCGGGAGGAGCAGGACACGGTCCAGAAAGCCGAGGCGGCCGAAGGCTGTGCCGCCCCTGACGCTGAGGGAGGGGCTGGCCAGTGTGCGATGAAAGAAGCTAAGTGCCGCTTCGCGAAACAGCGGCGGTGACGCTCGTGAACAACCTGCGCCACACACCCTTCTCACGGAGGATTTCCAATTTAAGAGCCTCGAAGGAAGGATCGCCCCTTTCTCACAAGAGGATTTCCAATTTAAGAGCCTCGAAGGAAGGATGCAGGCAGAAATTCACCATTCGGCAAAAATCAGTCAAAACTGCTGCGAGAAAAACTCATCAATGATGCTGAGTTCAGTGGGTGAAAATACGAGAAACAGGACATCTGTACAGTCTCTGCATCTCTCCGCCAGACATTTCTCAGTGACAAAGGGAAACGTAATCGCTGTATAGTGGAGAGATCTGGCCGCCACACTAACCCAACGATCTGAGCAAAAACCACCAGCAAAACGAGTCACGTGGTCATTTGCAGACCTCCTGATAAAAGGCAATGAGAGGGGCGTGACGTCCTGGCTGTGGTGACCTTGCCCCAAACTCATAACCTTAACATCCTCGGGGCGGGGGCGGGGGGGGGGAACACACCAGACAAATCTAAATTGAGGGATGCAGCACAAACAACCAGCACTCTTCCAAGCTGCCAAGGTCACGCACGACGAAGACAGAGAGCTGTCCCAGACAGGAGGAGTCCTAAGGAGACATGTCAGGCAACATGGTATTCTGAACTGGATCCCAGACCAGAAGAGGGATGCTAATGTGACAGCTGTGAAATCTGAATCACATCTGCAGATTAGTTAATAGCAATGAATCAATGTGAATTTCCTGGTTTCAATAACTGGACTGTTCATGCAAGATTTTAACATTTAGGGAGGCTACTATTTTTGCAACTTTTGATACATATTGAGAATTTTTAAAAATTCCCAGACACATAAGACCAACTGTCCTGTAGCTGTGGCAGCAAATACCCACCAAACCCAGTTTTAAACCGGCGTGGTCGATAAATGTCTTGTAGAGCCACAAACACATAGAAACCTACTCATCTCTGCACCGTCAGTGTCTGGTACAGAAGCATCCGGAAAATGTTTAATAATAAATGAGAAAATTGAGAGGTTCATCTGTTTTGAAAGGGGTCACTTCCAAACTTATCAGAGCTTTCTCCTGCTTACTGTCTTACTGCTTGAAATCTTTAAGATCGCTTGTTGAATTCTGTACTATAATGAAAGACTGGCTTTTCAAATTAAGACATATGCATATAGAATGTCACTATCGAAATACAATCTAAAACTTCCTACACTATCGTTATTCATTTTCTTTCGCCATCTTTGAGAAAGGACGCCTTTCCTCTAGGGGAACGATTCTGCGCCCTGCGAAGGCCGGGGGTCCCCTCTACCCAGGGCAAGGAGCGGCTCTCTGCGCAGTGGAGAGCAGAACGCATCCTGAGAACGCAAAGCACTTTCCTTCCCGCTGCTCTGCAGAAGGCCCTGGCGCTTCCTCACGCACCGAGGGCGCTTGGTCTG